TGGTCACCTGGAACGTGGGCGTCGCGCAGCCCCCCGGCGAGGTGGCCGCCCTGCTTCGCCTCGGCGCCGCGGAGCCGCCCGTGGACCTCTACGCCATCGGGTGGGTGTCCCGCGGTTCCCCGGCGCCTCCTCCCACCCCCGCAGGCCCGGGGGTCCGGGCGGGAGAGGCGGCGCCGCCCGCCGAGGGAGGGAGGGAGGGAGGGAGGCCGCCCGCCGGTGCTTCGGGTGCCGCCTGGCCCGGGTGCGTCACCGGCGCCTCCGCCGCTGCTCAGCTTGCAGGAGGTGAACTCCCAGATCCTGAGCTTCCTCTCCGACCTGGCCTTCGAGGAGCCCTGGACGGCCTCCCTGACGGCCGCGCTCGCCCCGCTGGGCCACGTCCGGGTAAGCGAGGCCGCCGCGCGGCTCTTCCCGGGCGCCCCTCGGCCCCAGGAGAAAGGGAGCCTCCGGAGGGGGGGAAGGCTCGGAGGGGCGGGCGTGGGCCGCGCTCTCATCCGCAAGGCTGCCGGAGCGGGAAGAGCTTCGGGTGGGGGTGGGGGCGCCCCGGGTTGCTTGCTTGGCCGAGGCCGGTGCCCGCCGGGTCGCTTCGGCAATTCGGCCGGAGACGGCCTGGTCCGAAATGCTCCCGGGGGTCTCGCCCCACCTGGGGGGCTTGAATGAACAGCCCCCTCCTGCCGAGGGGGGGGCTGAGGGGCCCTCTGTGTGCCAGCAGCTGCGCTGCTCTGCTCTGGGGCTCCGGTGCAGATCTTGGGCGGGGGGGTCCTGGGGTCCTTTTACCCCAAGGCCAGAGGGGGACCGGCTCGTCCCCCCCTCCGAGCAGGGTCAGCTTTGGGCACTGGGTGGAAACGCTGCCTCCGTGGCTCAGGGCGGCTTCTCTTCCCGGCGCAGGTGTCTTCCATCCGCATGCAGGGCATCCTTCTCCTCCTCTTTGCCAGGCAAGCCCACCTGCCCTTCATCCGGGATGTGCGGAGCCAGTTTACCCGCACCGGCCTGCACGGCTACTGGGTGAGCTGCTTCACAGGGACCTTGCCAGGCCTCCGGTCAGTTAAAGCTGCAGGTACAGTGGATGCAGGAGAAGCAGGAAGGCCAAATTCTGCTGTGGCCAAGCTTCCACGCACGCACGCCTTCGCTTTTTGCCTGAATGTTTTTTGCACATTTCCATCTTTCTAATGGAGGCAGGCAAAATGGCAAATATCGCACCGTGATAAGAACTAATATGCAATAACCAGCATTTAATTTATAATGCTAATTGCAAAAGGAAAACGTGCAAAACCGGCTAATGAAGGACTCACTGAAAGTTTTCAAGCCCCAGTAAAATCTCTAGCGATGGAGATCCTCAGGTAGGGAATTTCACATCTTTGTTTTACTTATCAAAAGTAAATGTTTCCTGCTTTAAGGCATCAAAGCAAGTCGTACCGACAGCAACGCCGTGAAATTTAAAAGCAGAAGCGTCTGAAATTCGCTGAAGCAGGCGTTCAGAGAGCGGGCCATCCTTGCCCCTGCCGGGCAGCCAGTGGAAGCCCTAACTTCGGGTGTCGGGGAGCATCTCCTGCTGGAGAACCCCCTGAACGGGCCCGGCGAACAGTGTGACCCAACCTGAGACAATTCTTGGCCTCAGGGCGACTGTCAGGAAAGGGATGAAGAAACACTACAGCAATCTAGGGACGGGTCTGTGCTCCTAATGTACAGGTAGTCCTCCACTTACGACCGCAGTGAAGTCCAAAAATCTCCATTGCTAAGCAAGGCATTTGTTAGGTGAATGGTGCCCCATTTTATGATCTTTTTTACTGTGGTTGTTGAGCAAGTGGCTGCCGTTGTAATCGGGGGGCCCTTAAGCGAATCTGGCTCCCCCGGCTGCCGTTGCTTGCCAGAAGCTCCCTGGGAAGAAGGCTGCAGATGCCGGGCCCTGGGATGCCGCAACCGCCGTGGGCGCATGCCGGTTGCCAAGTACCCAAAGTTGGCTCATGTGGCCGTGGAGATGCAGCAAGGGTCACTGCTGATAAGTCACTTTTTTAATGCTGTGTAAGTTTGAAGGTCATTAAATGAATGGCTGTAAGCGGAGGACTACCTGTATTCATTTCTCTGTGAGTTTGGTCCATCCTGGAGACAGGGCTTCATCCCGGCAGAGCGTCAGAAAATGTGCCCCTTCTGCGCCCCACACATAGCCCAGGAGTGGGGAGGCAACCGCCATCTCTTGTCTCCCAGGGCAACAAGGGAGGGGTCTCCATCCGCCTGTCTCTCTACGGCCACTCGGTCTGCTTCCTGAACTGCCACCTGCCGGCCCACCTGGAGAACGCCAAGCAGCGCCTGGACGACTTCGAGCACATCCTGGAAATGCAGCACTTCGAAGAGAAGGCGTTCCCCTCGGCCCTGGACCACGAGTGAGTGGCCTCCCCCCCCCGCAGGGCCCTGCCCCCCCCCGGCCCAGCGAGGCCAGGAGTCCGGCAGGCCAGGCCCTCCACCCCTCCCCCCAGCTGCTCTTCTCGCGAGTGGCACTCCCCCACCCGCCCCCTTGTCTCATGGGGGGAGCGCCAAGGAACAGCAAAGTTGGCGGGGGAGGGGAGGGGGAGAGGGTGGGGCTGGCACAGGAAAAGCAGGAGAGGGATGGGCGAGGGCTAGAAAGGGGAGGGGCTGGCCATCCAGGTGTTTCCAGGAGGTCCAGAAAGGGTGGACCATCCCCACTTCTGCCTCGGCTGCCACTTGGTTGCCCTCCGGAGGTGCGCTCAGGTAGCCACCAGCTGCGGAGGGTGAAAGAAAGGGAGAGATTTGAACGCCAAACAGAACAATTCTGAAGTGGGCCTCACGTTTCCCTCTGTACACCGTGCGGCCCCTCTTGTCCCAGACACTTTTTACCTGCATTTTCACCCTCGGCCAACTCAAAACGGTTTCTAAATAGTTCTAGCCAGATCTGAGGACTGCCCATAGCTTTGCTCCTGGGGGTCTGACCGGGAGGGTCTGGTCTGCTGGCTTGGAGACCACTCGTGGGCACGTGGCTCCCCCGGGGGGAGGGGCGCACAGAAGTGAGGTTTCTGCAGGGAGGGCGTTATCCTCCGTGGGATGAAGGGGGGCTGCCTGCCTGAGCGAAGGAGGGAATTGCCGGGGTGGGGGAAGGGGGGGCCGCCCTTCCGAAAGCCGCCTTGGTAACTGCTGCAGCCTTTTGGAAGGGCCGGTGCCCAAGCGCCGGCTGCTCTGATAGCCTGCCGAGATGGAATCGCGCCGTGGCGGAGGAGGAGAGGCCGGGGCCGGCTGCCTTTGGCACAGGCGAAGGACGTAGAAGCCTCTGCCTTCCTCGCTGCTCTCGGCCTTCCTTCTTCCAGGCTTCTCTTCTGGTTCGGCGATCTGAACTTCCGGATCGAGGACTATGGGCTGCACTTCATCCGAGAGTCCATCAGCAGCAGCCGCTTCCACCTTCTCTGGGAGAAGGACCAGGTACTGCCCCCCCCTCAGAATTTCCAGCCCTCCCCCCCAGTTTTTGAGTGTGGGGGGGAGTGGCTCGTCTTACTCCCTGATCCTGCCTGGCCATTCCCCATCTATTTTCCAATGGGGCAGCCACTTGCCAGGCTTTCTCCCTGCCCTGGGAAAGGAAGGGGGCTCAGGGACCAGGCTGGATCCACCGTGGGCTCCTTGCTGTGGCCCCCAGGAGGAGAGGCGCAGCTCCCGGGCTTGGTCTGCAGCATCGAGCGGTTCTTCCTTCCCATCCCCAGTTAAACATGGCCAGGAAGAAGATGTTCTTCCTCCAGGAGTTCTCGGAGGGGCCCCTGAAGTTCAAGCCCACCTACAAGTTTGACCTATACTCGGACCAGTACGACACCAGGTAACTGCTCCGTCCTTGCAGAGGAGGTCTGCGGGGGGCTTCAACCTCAGGTGCCTGCTGCGCTGGCCTTTGGCCGGACAGAAGAAGCCACAGAAATCAGCGCGGCCTCCCAGGGGCCCCAAGCAGAAGCAGGAAGTGTGGAGGGGGGTGTCTTGGTGGGCAGACCCTGGCTGTCCCTCTGCCCTTCCAAAGGAGGCTCTTGCGGTGCTATCCTCTCCCTCTGTTTGCAGGGCCGAGAAGGCGCTGCTTGGGTCTAGGGGAGGACCCCCGCACGTGGGGTGTTTTGGAAAACTTAGACCTGTGGGCCACTTGAGTCTGATGGCTTTCACACAGTCGCCTCTTCTGACTTAGTTGTTGCTGGGGTGACGATCCTGGCATGAGGGGATGCAGAGGCGAAGGAGCCTCTTGGATCTGTGCAAGCTGCAGGGCGTCCGACCCTCCTGAGGCGTGCAGGGGGCAGCAGCGGCCCTCCCCTCGCTCTTTATGGGCTGGCAGCGGCCACAAAGGACTGCCAGGAGGAGCCCAAACCCTAACCCAAAAAGCATTTAAAATAGCAACAGTGGCAGCTGATCCAAAGAGCTAAAAAGTTAAGGAGTGCATCTGTTACGCCCACTCACACGGCTGCATATCCAGCCCAAGGGGCTCACCAGGCGCCCGGCCACCGGAGCGCCTTCCGGCTGGAAAGACCAACAGCTTCTTTCACAATGAGCCCTTTTCTGGGCCCAGAACTGCAACTGGCGCCGTAGGGCCAAAAGGCTTCTGAGCTGTTGGCTTTTATGCACCAGCAAGGCTCCTGATTCCCGGGGGGGGGAGAGCCCTCCCTTCAGAAAAAAAGCCAAAGGCAGCAAAGTTGCTTGAGGTCCCCCCCCCAGCCCAGCTTCTCCTCCTGCTCAGGGTGGGGGGTGGGTGGGGGGTGGCTGCTTGGCTGTGTCCTCTCCCCCCCCTTTGTTTCTGCAGTGAGAAGAAACGGAAGCCTGCTTGGACCGATCGGATCCTCTGGAGAGTAAAATGCCTTCCCTGCTTCGAGCCGAAGGAGGCCCCCAGGGAGGGGGGGCTGTCCCTGTCCCTGGGCAGCTACACCAGCCACATGGACTACAACATCAGCGATCACAAGCCGGTCACTGGCACCTTTGAGCTGAAGGTGGTATCCTGGCTCCCCGAGGGCAGCTGCTTCTCTCCAGAGAGACAGTGGTTCCGGCCGACGGGCGGCCCGCTTGGCACCCAGCTGCAGAAGGGCCCGGCCCAGACTGGCATCCCGGGGCAGGCCTTTCCCACCGGCCCCGGGCATTTCTGCCACTGGGCTCTAAAGCAAAGCAGGACATCCTGCCCTTAACTCGGCCGATGCCCCCAGGGTTCTGTGGCCACTGCGGGGTGCCTGTCGAAGCCTCTGGCAAGCAACAGTGTCCTGCATGTCCGAGGCGGGGGCTCTACACGTCAGGCCAAGCTGTGGCTTTTTTAACCAGCTTGGGTTGAATAAGCCAGCATTGCCTGGGCCCAGACCCTGCTTGAAGGCCAGCTCTGATGATGGCCCGAGGGCTGCGTGTCACCCCCCTCCCCACCCCACAGGTATGTCCCCCCCCAGGGCCTCCGTGGGTTGTTGGCAACATTTCTGACTTACGCACCTTCATCCAGAAGTGGCCCACCTCAAAAGAAAACCCCCCAGCCCTAAGCGCAGCCTCCGGCTCCCCGGTGGAACCGACGGGCTTCCTTTCCCCAGGGGGAGGGCTGGTGCCACCTGACCGAGAAGACTGGGCAGGGGAGGGACTGACCCTGGCAGGGGGGGGGCTGGCTGAGGCTGGTGCTCCTCCGGACTAGCCTCTGGGCAGGGAGAGGAGTGGCAGTCCCAAACCATATAACACTCAATGGAGCACTTGAAATACGAAGCAAGCCCGCTAGTAAGCTGAAACTCAGATTAAATCCCAGTGTATTGTGTTGTCCTGGTCCCCCCCCCCCCCCGTTTTACAGGGTGGGCCTCTTAGCCTGGCAGCAGGGCCTAAGTGTGAGGTAGGCTGGGTGCCAAGGGGCCTGCGCCTTGGGGGAAGGAACAGCCCGGCCGCGATCAGGGGAGGGGGGGGCTCCGTGGCATTTCTCATCTTGGGTGGGTGGCTTTGTTCCTGCAGGTGCAGCGCCTGCAGATGGAGCCCCTGGTTGTGCTCTGCCCGGTGGGCACCTGGAGTGCTGAGCAGGATGCCACAGTCAGCTACGTCACCGCTCCAGAATTCACCAGTAGCGCCTGGGACTGGATTGGGCTCTACAGGGTGAGTGGGGTGGGGAGGGGGCCCAGGCTGGTGCTCGGGCCCGGCCCTGCTCTGCTGCCTGGGGACCAGGGCTCTTCCAGAGCACCCGGGCTGTTTGGAGGCCCCCTTCCCTGGCCAGAGGGAGGCCCTTTTCCCAGCCTCCTCGGCAGGGACCCGGTCTTGCAAGAGGGGGGGAGCAAGCCGGCCACCTCCACGGTCGGAGCAGCAGCCTCTGCTGGGGAAGACCCTCTTCCCATGTTTAAGACCCCCGAGGGATGGGCAACAGCTCATCCTCCCTGCCCAGAGGACAATGGGCTCCGGGGGGGCGGAAGGTCCCTTGCGGGGCCCCGTCTGGCCTTGGGTTTGTGGCCTGGCAGCTGCTTCCCACCTGGCTGAAGCCGCCTGAAGGGACGGCTGGGCTGGACATGGGCTCCCTCCTGCTGGGAGCCCCTCACCTGTGCTGGCAGGTGGGCCCTTGCAGCTCTTCCTCTCGCCCGGCAGGTGGCCTTCCGACATCTGAACGACTACGTCACCTACGTTTGGGTGCAGGACAACGAAATCTCCTCCGAGGACGGGGCAAAGCAGGTGAAGGATGATGCTTCCCGGGCTTTCCCTCTGCTCGGCTGCTCCTCTTGTCCCACTAAAAGTTGACAGCGGCTCCCTTGCTTGCAGGTCTATCTCGGGGCTGAGGGCCTCCCCAAAGCGGGGGGAGAATTCCTCCTGGGATACTACAGCAACACGCTGCGGTCCCTCGTGGGCCTCAGCCAGCCGGTCCAGGTGAGGGCTGCTGCTTCCTCATCCTCCTTGCTCCTGAAAGTGGGGGGGGGGTATCTCTGTGGTGCTGGGAGACTCCTGCCACAGCAAGGGGCTTGGTCTCTAGTGCTGGGTGGGGGCTGCAGAAGCCCCTCTCGAGAGGCAGAATTTACCCAGTTCTCCCCCTCCCCCGCCACCTTTGGGATCTGGCCTGGATGAATTCTGCAAGAGTTCTCTTCTGGGCGCTGTGGCAAGGGGACTCTTCCCCCCCCCACTGAACCCGGGGGGGGCACCTTCCATCTTTGCCTTCTTTCCTCTCTGGGCTGAGTTGCTTGGGGGGGGGGGCAGAACTGCCTTCGAATGTGCATCTCTCCCTTTCTAGATCCAACCGTGCCCGAAGTCAGCCGAGCAGCAGGCGGGCTGGGCTGGGGCCAGCAGTGCAGAACGCCTTCCTTGCGAGAGGCCACCCTGTGACTTCTGAGGTCCCCCCCCCCATCCGGCACTTCCGTGGTGGGGACCGTAAGGCACTCCGGCTTCGGCCTCTGCAGCGGCCTGGCTCAGCTTGCCGCAGCTCTGAAAAGCTCTGCCTCCCTTTGGTGCAGAAGAGCCGAGACGGAGCCGGTTCCCCAGCAGGACCGCCGGCTTCCTTACGCCCCGGCCGAGACGGCCGCTGCCCCATTTTCCGAGTGCCTCTTAGGCTCTGTGCGCTTCACTGCAATGTTAAGGAGACACTGCTGGCACTTATTTGAAAACTGGGATTGTAGGATTTTTATGAAATGTAAATTTTTTAGAACTGAAATACATTTTATCGTAGCTGGAATGAAAATGCAAAGGCTGCTATTCTTTGGCCATTTGTCTTGAAATGGGGCGAAGACTTGCACGCATGCCCCTCCCCACGCATTCCTCCAAAGCCTGGATGACAGATGGAGTGCTTCCCCCTTGGCAGTGGGGCCAGGTCCAGGTGGGTCTCGTCCTGCAGCAGGCCTCTGGCTTCGTGGGCATTTGGGCCTTTAAGTCCGGGCTTTTTTGAGAGCTGCAGCCCTCTGCCGACCTCAGGCTGAAATGGTGATCGTGCAGGAGGCCTGGATCCTTCTCACAGGCACTGCGGTAGAGCCATGCACCGCCTCTCCTGTACCTGGGCATCTTCTTTCTCCTGCCTTCTTTCTCCTGCCTACCTTCCTTTTCTCACCACTGAACTTCATCTTACTAGATTGGGCCCAATGCTCAAGCCTGTCAAGATGCTTCTGAACTTTGAGTATCTTCCAACGTGTTAGCAATTCCCCCCAACTGAGTGTTGTCTGAAAATTTGATGAGTTTCCCTTCTATCCCCTCAGCTAAATCACTGATGAAGATGAAGAAGTAATGGGAGCTTTAACTATCCAGATATCAGCTGGGAGACAAACTCTGCAGCAAGTGGGAGATCAAACAGATTCCTAACCAATCTAGTCGACAACTTTGTCATCCAAAAGGTAGATGAGGGACCTATAGGAAAAGCTACACTGGACCTAATTCTTACTAATAGAAAAGAAGTGATAAAGGGGAGTTGAAGTCACCCAGAACTTTGGGTGAGAGTGACCATGTCATACTGGAAGTCAATATAATGCAAATACAAGCAGTAGAACATAATCCAATCAGTATCTTAAACTTTAAAAGAGCTGATTTTAACAAACTCGGAGAGACCCTAGGAAAGATTCCATGGATAAAAATCCTAAAGGGGTGGGAAACTCTGAAAAATGAGATCATAAAAACCCAGTCCAGCACAATACCATTGAAAAAGAAAAACAAGAAAGTCAAGAAGAAACCAGCATGGCTGCACAAAGATCTCTCAGACAAACTGAAAGACAAAAAGGATAAGTACAAAAAATGGAAAGAGGAACACATAACTAAGGCTAATTATCAGCAGACAGCCAGAACATGCAAAGATGAAGTCAGGAAAGCAAAAGCTCAGAATGAACAAAGACTTGCAACAAAAGTCAACGATAATAAAAGTTTCTTTCAACATATAAATAACCAAAAATAGTTAAGGAAACAGTTAGTCCTCTAAAGAGAGAAGATGGCAAGGAAGTAACAGGCAGTAGACAGAAAGCAGAGCTGCTTAACTCATTCTTTGCATCAGTCTTCACACAATAAATTATAGACAACCTACCAAAAAACTACTGTAAAAGACGGATTAGAAATAAAAATTAAAATGAGCAAGAAAATGGTAAAACACATGTCTGACTTTGACGAATATAAATCATAGGTACCTGACAAATTACATCCCAGAGTTCTGAAGGGAACTGGCAGATGTTGTCTCAGAAGCACCAAGGAAGTACCTTAGGATTGGAAAAGGGCTGATGTGGTTTCCATCTTCAAGAAAGGGAAAAAAACATCCAGAAAACTACAGACCAATCAGCCTAAAGATCCTGGAAAAGATAATCAAAAAACAGATCTGTGAACAATTAGAAAGAAAGAAAGTTTTAACTAGTTGTCAGCCCAAGTTTGTTAAAAGTAGATCATGCCAAACCAATCTTATTTCATTATTTCATAAAGTGACTAAATTAGTAGACCAGTGAAATGCTGTGGACATAGTATTCTTAGATTTCAGCAAGGCATTTAACAAAGTAGACCACAACCTACTTCTTGGTAAGCTAGAAAAATGTTGAATAGACAACATCATTACCAGATGGATCTGTAGCTGCTGACAAAGCATACTCAATGAGTAGTCCTTAATGGTACTACATCTACATGGAGGGAAGTAAGCAGTGGGGTACCACAAGGCTCCAGTTTAGGGCCAGGACTCTTCAATATCTTTATAAATGACTTAGAGGAGAGAATAGAAGGGGAACTCATCAAATTTGCAGATGACACTAAGTTGGCAGGAATAGCCAACATCTCTGAAGACAAGCTCAGGATCCAGAAAAACCAAAAGTACAAGTACAGATTAGGCGAGACCCAGCTCAAAAACAGCCACTGCGAGAGGGACCTTGGATGATCACTTGACCAGGAGCCAGCCCTGTGCGGCAGTAACCAGAAAAGCTAATACAATCCTGGGTTGTATAAACAGGCATAGAATCAAAACCACATGAAGTATTAGTATCACTTTATAAAACCCTAATAAGACCATACCTGGAATACTGCAACCAATTTTGGTCACCTCACTACAAAAAAGATGTTGAGATTTTGGAAAAAGTTCACAGAAGAGCAACTAAAATGATCAAAGGCCTGGAGACTAAAACATATGAAGAACGGTTGCAGAATTTGGGTTTAGCTAGTCCAGAGAAAAGAAGGACTAGGGGGGACATGATAGCAGTATTCCAATATTTGAGGGGCTGCCACAAAGAAGAGGGCGGTCAAATTCTCCAAAGGACCTGAAGGCAGGATAAGAAGGAATGAATGGAAACTAATCAAGGAGAGAAGCAACCTAGAATTAAGGAGAAATTTCCTGAGAGAACAATTTAGTGGAACAACCTGCTTCCAGAAGTTGTAGGTTCGCCATCACTGGAGGTTTTTAAGAAGAGACTGGACAGCTACTTGTCTGAAATGACATAGGGTCTCCTGCTTAGCAGGGGGCTGGACTAGAAGACCTTCAAGGTCCCTTCCAGCTCTATTTTAATGTTGAAGAGTACTGGGCCTAAGACAGAGCTTTGGGGTACCCCACTGCGTGCTTCCCTCCATGTAGACGTCACAGCTCCATTCAGGGCCACACACTGAGTGCGTTGGTCAGCGGCTGGCAACTCCCTCTGGTGGTGAGGCTATCTGTCTCCCACTGTGGTCTACTTTGTCAACTGCCTTGCTGGCGTCCAAGTATATGATCTTCACAGCATTTACCTGATCCGTTAATTTAGTCACTTTATCCAAGAAGGCAATAAGGTTTATTTGGCATGAGCTGCTTTTAACAACCGCACCCTGGCTTCCAGGAATCGCCTTATTCATTTCTGGATGTTCACAAACCTACTGCTTGATTACTGTGTCTTTTCCAGGATTTTACCGCATATTGATGTCACGCCGTTCGGCCTGTAGTTTCCTGGATCTCCTTTTTACTTTTTTCAAAGGCTGGAGTCACATCAGCTCTTTTCCAGCCGACAGGCAGTTCCCCTGGGCTGCAGGGCCTCTAAAAGATTTTGTCCAGTGGTTCTGAAATCATGTCTGCCAGCTCCCTCAAGACCCTGGGACGTAAATACTCACCCAAAGGAGATGAATCCTTCTCTTGCCAAATCCTTGCCTATCTTGTTCTGTCTCCCCTGGTGCTGCTTTTGATAGATTGGACTGTTTTTTTCCTTTTGTGTAAAAAACAGAAGTAAAGGCAGAAATTAAGCAGTTCTGCTTTTTTTTTTTCTTGTTACCTTTCATCTCCTTGCCATCTTCACCAGTCAGTAGACAGATCATTTCCTTTACTTTCCTCTTGGTGCTTATATGTAAAAAAAAACAAAAAAAACACCTGTTATTTTTGGCATTTTTTGCTCTTTTAAGCCTTAAGGTTCTTGACTTGGTCTTTGCAGATTTGGGCTATTTGCTGGTATTCTCTTCTGATTACAAACCCTTTTCCATTTTTTTTATATTAGTCCTTTTTGTCAGAGAGCTCTTTCTGTAACCACGCTAGTTTATTGTTTCTGTTTGGGACTTTATTATCTGGTTTTCCAGGGTTTCCCAAGCATCCTGAATTGGTTTTCCCTACAGGATTTCTGGGGGGGGGGGTGTCTCTCCCTGGAGGGCCCTTTCAGTTCCGCCTCCTGCTCTGCGGGGGGGGGGGGCGTTAACCTGGCAGGCAGGGAAAGGTGCTTACCTTCTGGAGGAGCAGGAGGCAGGCTCTGTTTTAGGAAGCTCCTCGCTCTGAGAACGGACCCCTTGGCTCCCTTCCGGTCTTTGGATTAAATCCCTTTCTTCGCAGAGAGGGGCAAATAATAAGCTGGTAAACGTGTCAGCCTCCACAACAGGTGAGAAAACTGGGAGGAAGGTTGCCCTCCCCCAAGTCCTGTAAAAGTAAACTGAGGTAAAGTAAAACATGTTCCCACAATTAAAGCTCTGTACAGCCAACCTGTCCCCTCCCCCCACTAATTTCTGCAGTTTCAGGGCTGATTTGAAGGGGACCCCCCCCACACACACACACATCATGGAAGACGCCCTGCGGTAACGCAGCCTTGCTGTTCCTGGCACTCGTGTCACCGATGGGTGGGTCTGTCTTCTCCGGGAAGAAGCAGGCTTGGCATGTCATCTGACACCCGTGCTAGAGCAAGGAGGCTGTGACGGTGTCTCAAAGAAAGTGGCTCCTCTCCCCCCCCCCCCCCCGCTGAAGCCCAGCCCCTGGGACTGGCGTTCGCCAGCTCCTTCCGGGGTCTTCTGAGCCATCAAACGGTTGCTCTGCTTGCTCTCCGGGCATCCCTGACCGGTGGCTGTCTGGCAAAAGGGAACCCCCTCCCGGGCCGGGCGCTTTAGCCAGGGGGCTTCCGATTGCTTAAGCCACAATCTTGAGGAGCTTCCTGGCCCTGAAGAGTGTGGACACCTCCCCACCCCGGTTCCCATCACCTGCGAGGTCCGGAACAGGACCGGATGCTGGGGAGGGGGAGGGGCGTGATCCAGACGAATAAAGTGTTGCACCCCAAGGCTCGGAAGCTTCGCTTGGATTGAGGCAAAGCGCCTTTCCATCTTTTGCGGCCCCTTCATGCTATTTAATTTGCCCATTGCCTGCTATTTTCATAGGTCCATTTTTCACTTCTGCATCTTCACAACTGGACAGGTGTCATTTCTTCCTGAAATTTGTCTACCACTTGAACTGTTAGGCAGCACATAGAACTTGTCTAGCAAAAACAATACAGAATCAGAATTTATGATCACCAGAGCAAACAG